ACACCACAATCCCTTCTCCTCCATTCTCCTCTCAGGATCTTGGGCACACATGCACACGCACCCAGCGTGAGTTTTAAGCCACTGGGTCTGGGACGCATATCACAGTCAACTACATGGGAGTCCAGCAACGTAGCCATTATGCTAACTGCTGGTCCCTACTGATTTTTTTTTACTATGCTTTGTTTTCCCAATTTAAGCATTTTACTTTCTTCTGAGTTGTTGATAGATCCAGCAATTTGTTAAAATATTTTTGTTTGTTTCTTTAAATGGAAACAAACTTTTCTTTCTTCCCAAGCTCTCTGGAATTGGAAAATATTTGGGAGTGTTCTTATTTTGTGTCAAAAGGGTTATTTGTATAAGTTCAGTAATGCTTGTTGCATTGAATCAGAAATTGGAAATACTCATTTTTGGATGGGGCTTTGACTGGAATGTCATATCTGAAGATTAATCAGGAAACTGTGGAACTAAGGTGGATCTCAAGTAAGCCAACAGAAGCTCGTAGAAAGATGGCCTGGTACCATCAATAGTTGTGCCTGGCAGAGAGGATTAGAGAAAATTTATAACATAAACTAACCTGGACTTTTCCAGCCCAGCATTGTAATCAGTAGAGATTGCAAAAGAACAAGCACACCAGAGGATTATCTTGAGAAAGACGTTGAAGGAAGAAAAAGAGACTGTTCTTTGCTAGCAGATGGTATGTCACAGAATTCTTGGGCAGGGCTGAATTGAGAAGGTTTATGTGTGACTCGTGTGCTGGGCATTTGCTTTTCAACAATTTGAGTAGCAGACATGTAAATATTTTCTCAAAAATACTTAAAACCATACTGTCTATTGTTACAGAGTCACAAACAAAATTATACAAAATTATAAGAAATATTTTGAACATTATCTTTAAAATTCAGTATTTCGAAATTTTGCAAGTTGTTTATTAACTGTCAAGAACATGAGCAAAAAAATTTTTGATATGTAAAGTAAATGTTTGTGAGAAAATGTAAAAAGAAATAAATTATTGCCCTGATTTGATCATTACACATTTTATACATCGTGAAAAACCACAGTTCGTCACGAATATGTACAACTAGTATGTGTAAATTAGAAATGATAATCCTGAAAAAAAGTTTTGACCTCCTTCTGTTTCTTCAGCCTGTCTCAAGGCAGCTCACCACACTTCTCTCCAAGCAGGCTTCAGATTTTTCGTGGTTCTGGACCTTCTGTGTTCTCTATCACAGGCTCTTCCCCAGACCTTCTCAAGGTTAATTTCTCTCCTGCAGCTTGGAACATAAATCCCACATTCTGCAGCTCTTGAACAATGTGTCCACTATTGCCACTTCCCTCTTCCCTCTCCTGTTTTTCATGTGACTCTTTCTCACCCCATGCAGACAGGGGCAGCAGCCACTTCTTGGTTCTGTGACCACTTGCTTGTGCCGGTCAGCATCGTGGTTTATCATATGACTTAGAGGAAACTACTGCTCACCCAGATGACCTGCGATCTCAAGCTCTTGGCCTGCCCCCAGGCCCCTGGCGGTTAACGGAGGTATCATCTTGTAGTGACCAAATTCCTGCACTAGTGGAGATAACCAAATGTTAGCCACACTTCCCCAAGTACTTCAAGCTTAACTACAACTTTGCTTTCTTTTTTTTTTTTCTTTGAGAGGTTTTTGCTAAAGAGCGCGTGCGCTCGCCGGACAGAGACAGAGAGAAAGCGAGAAATCACCTCCCGGGGGGATGGCCAGCCCGCAATCCCTTCTCCTCCATTCTCCTCTCGGGATCTTGGGCACGCACGCACACACGCCTGGTGTGAGTTTTAAGCCACTGGGTCCAGGACGTGAACCGCAGTCAACTATGGGAGTCCAGGACATAGCCATTACGCTAACTGTTGGTCCCAACTTTGCTTTCTTGATTACAGGAATATAAACATACAAGAGCCAAGGTTTGTCTTTATTTACCCTTTTTTAAAGATTTATTTATTTATTTATTTATTTAATTTGCTACAGGGCATGTGTGCTCACCAGAGAGGGAAAATAAGAAAGCAAGCTGCTGGGTCTGGGACTCCAACCATGGACAGCCATGTGGGAGTCCAGTGCCTTAACCATCACCCACCTGCTGGCCCCATATTTATTTATTTCTTGTGTATTGCAACAAGCACCAAAATGTAGTTGGCATTCAGAATTTTGAAAGAACAAGGCCTAAATTCTGGCAGTTTTATTTTGTCAACATGTGCTTCAGAGGGGGAAAAATGGAAGGACAATGCTCCAAGCATCCCATTCATTTCTTCTCTAACTGGCAACTTGTGTGAGATGGGGCTAAGGCCTGCTCAGTACACTTATCAAGGTTGTTAAAAAGAACCTTGGCTCCTTGTAGAATTGGCCCATTCCTTGCCTGGCGTAAAAAGCTACAAGGTGAACCTGGAATACTTACTATCCTAGAAAACAAGGAAACTTTAGATTAAATCTGTAGGGACCAGCAGTTAGCGTAATGGCTATGTCGCTGGACTCCCACGTAGTCTACCGCAGTTCGAGTCCTGGACCCAGTGGCTTAAACTCATGCCGGGCGCGTGTGCGTGCGTGCCCAAGATCCCAAGAGGAGAATGGAGGAGAAGGGATTGCGGTGTGGCCATCCCCCCGGGGGGGGGTGATTTCTCGCTTTCTGTCTCTCTGTCTGTCTCTGTCTGGTGAGCGCACGCGCCCTATAGCAAAAACCTCTCAAAAAAAAAATAGATTAAATCTGTAAATTCATTTAAGATTAATCAAATCTATTTCAGTTAAATATTAATTTTTAGTCATGTTGATACATGAAATAGGAAAATAGAAATTAAATATAAATTAACAAATATAAATACATTTGTTTAAAAAGACTGAGATGCTTCAAAGTTTACAAAAGACTATGGAATAAGTACAGGAGGATGGAGGTGAAGGGATTGCAGCCTGGCCATCACCCCCGGGGGTGATTTCTCACCTTATTTCTCTGTCTCTCTCTCTAGTGAGTACACGCACTGCCCCATAGCAAAAATCTCTCCTCCCAAAAAAGAAATTTCTTTTATACTCTTTTACCTACTTCAACAAAACTGAATGTTGTTGTTTTCCCCCTTTATGAGTAAGAAACTGCCCAAGATTAGCCTACTATTTCCACATAATGTAACGAAAGCAGCTTTACAACTTAATATCTTAATATAATAAATTGACAGCGTAGACACTGTTCAAGGTTTATTTGGTGTTTTAGTATGACACTCGGATAGTTGCTTGTTTCCATGTAGTGCTTTCTTTTTACACTACTGATACATATATTATACAAACTAAGGTCCTTTAGAATAGTTATGCACATGGCATGCAGAATTGGATGGATACAGTGGATCCCAGGGCGGGGCAGAAAAGTTGGACTAGGCATGTCGGGTGAAGGAACCAGAGTTATACAGCACAGAGTAAACACATCTGGTTTGAAGGCAAATGCAGCATGTACAATACTGGCAGGGGCGCCTCACAGGTGGAGGAACTACCCAGCTTAGGACCACACGCTAAGTACTAGCCAGCACCAGGACACAGGTGGGTAGGCTTTTACCAACCGTCTCGAACTGAAGGGAATTGATGCTTTCCCAGGCCATCTTGATAATACCGCTTTAATCACAGATCAGATAAAAAAGGACAACGTGCACAACTTCCAACTAAAATCCTCAGATAGCCTAAACAGTGAAGTGGTACAACATCACAAGAGTTTAGAACTGCAGCTCCTTCTGGATCCCCCAAAGTGTGTCTGCACTCTTCTTCAAACGGGCCACTTCGTCAGGTGTCAGAGTCACCTTCACCACATCTGAAGTTCCATTCTGTCCCAAGATGCAAGGAACACTAAGGAAGACATCGTCCTTTATTCCATAGAGACCCTGAAGACAAAATGAGAGAGGGCTCGCGTTATGTTTATGCATTCAGAGCTTTCCCGACACTTATATTCCCTAGAAGGATGCTCTTCCTTTTAAAAGACAACTTGATAAATAAAAATCCTTTCCAGATGTTCAGTTATGATGTAATAAACATTATAACAAAAAGTTGGGAACCAGCAGTTAGCGTAATGGCTATGTTGCTGGACTCCCATGTAGTTGACCGTGGTTTGAGTCCCGGACCCAGTGGCTTAAACTCACGCCGGGCGCGTGTGCATGCGTGTCCAAGATCCCGAGAGAGGAATGGAGGAGAAGGGATTGCGACATGGCCATCCCCCCTGGGGGGTGATTTCTTGCTTTCTATCTCTCTGTCTGTCTCTGTCTTTGGTGGGGCCACCAAGCCTTAAAAAAAAAACCCCCCCCAAAAAAAAAAAAAAAAAGTTGGGGCCAGCAAGTGGTATGGAGGTGAAGGTAGCTGGATCCCCATGGTGGACTGTCTAGTTTGAGTCCCAGACTCAGCAGCTTGAAAAAAGAAGCCAGGTGCTTGTGTATGTGTGTCCAAAACCCAAAAGAGAATGATGAAGGGACTGCAGCATGGCCATTCCCACTTGGGGGTAATTTCCAACTTTCCCTTTCTCTCCCTCCCTTTTTGTCTCTGACAAGCACACACACCCTATGGCAAAAACCTTAAAAGAAAAAAAAAGAGAAGAGAAAAAACAAAAATGGCAAGATCTGTCTCCAATGTTATTGCTTATTTACAAATATTAGCATATTCGGTTTTCACGTGGCTGGGTTTTCAGGGGCTGAACTCTCTATTTTTTGTCCATAAATGTGAACTTTTTCACATCTAAAGATGAAATCTTGGGCATTCATGCACATGGATCCAGCGTGAGTTTAAGCCACCAGGTCCGAGACTCGAACCGTAGTCAACTACATGGGAGTCCAGTGACATAGACATCACCCCATCAGCTGATCCCGGCAAACATTTTTTAAAGTCATTACAATAGCAACAAGATGAGGCCAGCAGGTAGCATGACAGTTGAAGGCACTGGACTCCCACATGGATGACCACGGTTCAAGTCCCAGACCTGGCGATGTGCTTTTTCATTTTCTCCCTCTCTCTCTTGCTGTTTCTCTCTGGTTAGCACAAGTGCCCTAGAGTAAATTTAAAAATAATAATAATAAATAAAATTACATAAATAATAATTTTTTAGAAGAGTTATT